AAGAAAAAGCCACAAGTAAATCACTAACATTAAATAATTCTTCTTCGCACAATATGTCTTGTGTAAGGCTTCCTGTTAAAAGTAAATGTAAAAGGAAGTTACTTTCTTTACATGATTCTTCACAATTATTATCCTTTTCCCCAGTGGAAAATGAAAACATATTACCTGAACGGCCTATGCTAAGAACCAGGTATAAAAAAGGAAAAAAACAACATGTAAAGAACAAACGTAGTATAGTTGATAATGGTAGTGGTGTAAAACGTATTGATGGGAAGAACTATGATCAGTTGGTATTAAAGAATGATTGTACTATTTTTTCCAATACAAAAAAGCAAAAAAGACCGAAGAAAGTTATTAGCAAAAAATTTGTTATTAAACGATTTGCTAATGAAAACTTTTTAGGAGGATTAGAGGAGAATAGAGGAAATGCTACTAAAGTGCAGGCTCACATTTGTAATAGAAATTCATTAAATGAGTTTCAAACGTTAAAAAATGTACCCACTACACAACCATCAAACAAAAAGACACAGAGAATAAATATAGTTGTAACTGGTTTATGTAATGAGTAAGAAACATTTTTATTCTACATTCTTTTTTGAATACTTTTATCAATGTTTGTATGTTACATGTTACACTTTCTTTTGGCTAGTGATAAAAACATTGTTAAAAGTGTTATTAAAACTCTTGGCCACGCAAGAATTGAATCGAACGTTACAAAACGAACAACACATGTTGTAACCACGGGTGTGCGAACAATAAATTTACTATATGGAATCATACGTGGTTGCTGGCTTGTTACCTTTGAATGGGTTTTAAGATCATTAGAAAATAATTCATGGTTAAATCCAGAAGAATATGAAATAACGCACTTTTCAAAAGCAGTATTGGTATATATACATATATATATAAGTATATATAAAAAAATATATAACATTCTGTATAAAAAACATAATTTAATATTTACAATTTTCAGGAAAATCGTAAAGATAGACAATTATTTGGGGCATCATATGTTTCTGAATTGTTTGCCGCCTGTGGAAGTATATACATTGGAAAAGGCACAACACCTCCATACGATACACTGAAAGATCTTATAAAAACTGCAGGTGGTCAGATTACTGAATGTCCAGAAGCTGCAAAAATTATAATTCATTCAAAAGGTTTAAAAGAGTCTTGGGTTTTAGATTGCATTACAACAGGTGAATTGCAACCATTCCATCTGTATCAACGACTTTAAATGTTAAAATATTTTCAAATAATATCAAATGTGGATTGTGAATAAAATATTTTTTTGAAAATTTGTATTCATTTAATTACTCTCATAGATATAATTGTATCTAATAGAAATAACCACTCAATTTTTGTTTATACATTAAATTAAATATTATGTTAAAAATGTTGAACCATCATTGAAATAAATTTGATAAATTTATTATCTTGGTAAACATATTGTAATAAGTGAATTTTCAAAATGATTTTTTTATTACTCATAAAAATAAAATATTTCGTATATAACATCGTTTATGTATGCGCATCCATATATAAGTATATTCCTTTATCAAATAATTCGTTTTTAATTATAATCTCTTTTAAATATACTTTTCAAGAAAATATGATTTCTACGTGTAACAAATGAATTTATATGATGACTAATCATGACGTATAGATCAGTCTAAACAAAAGCAAAGCTCATGTCAGCGGAACGTGGTTGATTTAAAATCGCGTTATCTTTTATTGTAATCATACCATTCAGGTTAGGCTATGTCGATGTGTACACTTGCAAGTACTTCTTATAAGTTATAACTAACGACATTCGCATGCAATGTGTCAAATAGACACGTTTGTTAACATGCACCTTTGTATTTATTTAACAGTAGAGTAATATAAACATTTCATAAGTATGGATTATATTGCCTTTAAGTAAGTATAAAATTGCAGATCTTTACTCAAATTTTGTGCTTGTATTTCATTATTGCACGGACATATAATTTGACAGTTACCAAGTGCGTCCATTTCGTCAAACACACAGTTGTTATCCAAGTATTTCGTTACAATCTGTATCAAATCATTTAGATAAAGCGTACATATATACGCGTAAATGTAGATATCCATGGTAATAAACATTATACTTTGATTTATTGTGTATTGCAAATTTACATAAATTTAGAACGTGTAGAGTATATCAATAATATGCTTTTTGTATAATATTATACTTAATTTCATTTTCATGTACTAAATAAAAAAATCTTGTGTGACAATTTATGCTTAGGAAATTTATACATAGAATAGAAATGTTAAATAGAGATTTCTTTTTAAATAAAAATATTTATAAAAACTTCTAGGTACATTGGTATTCTTTTAAAGTTTCAGCTCTAGTCTACATGACACTCCGTCTACAGAAAAATGCATTCCAATACCAAGACATAATGGAACACTATTACCTGATGTTTATGCAGGCATTCCTGAGAACCTGTTTCTAAATTTTATTGGATTTTCGGTAAAAATTATATATATATATATATATATATATATATATATATATATATAAAGAGACATTTGAAATCTTATATAATGCGTAAATTGTTTTTATGAAAGATATAATTAGAAGTTTTCGTATCTAATATCGCTGTTTATTTTCACAGCTTCTTGTTATTTTGTTTGGTTTGTTACGCAAAAAGGCATGGAATTATGGACGTCTCGCATTATTTAATAAAACAGATGAAAGATGGATGGAATTATTTTATGGAGACAATGAGGGTAGAGACACAGAAGCTTTATGTATAGAAACTTCTGTTAATTCACAGCTTTCTCAGGTCGATAGAGGTTTCTTATCATGGATTGTTACTGCATTCAGAGTAACGTAAGTACAATTAAAATATTTTAAATAAATATACATGTTATTATGTAAGTCATATTTACACTTAATAAAGAACTACCAAATACAAATTGATGGAAAATATTTTATCAACATTTGGAACAATAGTTTTTTATTATTATTTTAGCGATGATGAACTATTGAAGCGAGCAGGACCTGATGGTTTACTTTATATATCATTTGAGCGTCATTTAATCATCTTAACCTGTTTGATGGTTATCGTATCCTTATGTATAATTTTACCAATTAATTTTCATGGAAACATGCAAGGAGACAAAACAACATTTGGTCACACGACATTGTCCAACTTAGATCCAACGTCTACATGGATTTGGGTGCATTCGATACTCATTTTATTCTATTTACCAGTGGGTGGTTACATTATGAAACATTTTTTGAAAAAAGTACAGTATTGAGCTTGCAAAAATTTTATATATATGTATACATATACATATACATACCGAATTCTTTGTAGTGTAAGCGATCAAATAATAAAAATGATATTATACATAGGTACGAGATGCTAAACATGGTGGTGAGTTAGCAGCTAGAACACTGTTGATTACAGAAATACCAAAACATCAATGCAAAGTTGAAACACTTATTGATTATTTTAAGTATGTAAATTTTTATTTAGATACAAAAGTCAAAAATTTTTTTACTATAAATAAAACTGTGCATAATGATAAATTCCGTTCGATGTATTTCATTGTAATTATTTGCAGAGAAGCATTTCCTACTTTAACAGTAGAAGATGTTACATTAGCATATGATATTAAGCGACTTTCAGCATTAGACACAGAAAGGGATTGCGCTGAACAAGCACGTTTATATTGTGAAAATTATGCAAAGAAGAGAGAACCTTTAAAAATGTATCCGTATCCATGTGGCCAAATGATGGGTTTCTGCTGCAAACGTGTACGTGCCATAGCAAAGATTCATAATCTAATCAATTTTTCGTAAGAAAAATTTAAAAATAAATATATGATTTCTTTCACAGCAAATTGATGCTCATGATTTTTATATGAATGAAGAAATACGATTGAGTGCATTAGTCGAAGAAGAAAAAAGGCTATCATTGAGTAGGCCTTTAGGAGTAGCTTTTGTGACTTTAGGTTTGTTATTATTTGCAAATCTTTGTATTAATATGTACTTTCAATTTAAAATGAATAATCGCATTAATATATACGGCCATTCGAATAATCGAGTAATTCACAATTAATAATTTTTTTTTTAACGAAACAACATAGTAACATTCGTAATTATAATACAAAGGTACACCTGGCGCAGCTAAAACGATGCGTAAACAGTTACGCTCGTCACCTAGTATAAAATGGGTTGTAGATTATGCGCCAACACCATCCGACATCTTTTGGGAAAACCTGAGTATACCAAGACCATATTGGTATGTGAATGCGGTGTTAGTCAATTTTGCTTTGGGTATCATACTATTCTTTATTACTACACCAGCTGTAAGTAATTTTCAGCCGAAGTAGTATTGCGGAACATTCGAAATACATTTAAACCTGATTTCAGGACATTAGAATGATAATGTAATACTCGTAATCTTTGTTTTAGGTAATAGTGTCTGCTCTGAACAAATTACCAATTACAGGAGACATTAAGAATCTTAGCCCAGTAGTTTCATCTTTCCTTCCAACCGTAGTGTTGGTCAGTGTAGCTGCTTTAATGCCCGTATTAGTGGCAAGAAGTGAATCGTTAGTTCGACATTGGACCAGAAGCAGTTTAAATCGGGCGTTAATGACAAAAACATTACTTCTGTTACTACTTATGGTTCTTATATTACCTAGCTTAGGATTAACCAGTGCTCAGGCATTTTTAGAGTGGACCGTGAACCCTCTGAATGACACAGGAAGATGGGATTGTGTATTTTTACCAGATCAGGTACGATCGCAATGATAATACAATAAACGTGTTTCGAAATTTCATTAAATATATTTGTTGATAAATTCTAGAACACTGTATTTTTATAGGGTGCTCTATTTGTAAATTACGTTATTACCGCGGCCTTACTTGGAAGTGGATTGGAATTGGTCAGATTCCCAGAACTAGCGATGTATACCTTCAGGCTGTGTATGGCTCGTAGTAGAGCAGAAAGAGTACACGTTAGAAAAGCAGTGTTATGGGAATTTCCTCTGGGTGCTCATTATGCTTGGTTAGTCTTAGTTTTTACTATGACGACGGTGTACAGTTTAGCCTGTCCATTAATTACTCCCTTTGGGCTGCTGTATCTTGTAGTGAAACATTTGGTATGTTTAAATGTTTCAGATTTAAATTCACTAGCTCACGGTATAACAATATCCTATTACTAAACAGATGTATTATTGTGTTTGATGTTGAATAGGTGGATAGGCATAACTTGTGCTTCGCGTACGGACCAAGTGTTGGCGGCGGCCAGTTAGCAGGGGCAGCGGCAAACGCCACCGGAGCCGCTCCAATTTTGGCTCAAGCCGCATTATTGGCGCTGGGCTTAGTAAGAAAAGGTTTATCACCGTTAGCCGCTGTACAACTTAGCGGTTTTGCAGCAAGTATTTTGGGCCTTGTTACTGGAGCTACCTTGCCTTCATCGAAGTCAAAGGTATGATTGACAAATGTTGCCTCATGTATTTGTCTTTGATCGTGTATCTTGACTATATTACTGTAACGATATCGTTGAACTTGTTCGTTTTACAGACACAAGCGGTGAAAAGGGATTTGTCAGGTGGACAAAATTTTATTGCACCGGTATTGAGAGAAAAACAAGTTTCTATGGAGGAAACTGTGTCTGCCAGAACAATTTCAGATCTCAATTTGCCTAGTTTAAGAAGTACTAGTACTTCTTCGATACAAGAGAGTCCGAAGCTTTATCAGAATTATGGTAAAGAATCGACAGCATGATTGTTCTTTTACATTTAAGAATTCGAATCGTGCAATTAGAGAATTAAAGTCGTTCAGTGTAAATGCAGTGAAGTATGATACATGCTCTAATTTATTATAATTTTGTGCATTGTGATACGATATATCGTATATTGAATGTGATCGACACGTTTCGGAAATGAAACCGAATTCACTTATTACATTGTCGGTATAACATTGAAATTATCCAAACAGTACTACTTACTTAGTATATCATTTTTTGTTTACCAGATCTTTTTTTGTATGGAAAGATTCAGACTTGATTAACGACCGTCAAGAAGGAAATTCATTTCTCCTTATATTAATTTAAAAGAATTTTTAAATAATATATTATCTAATTAGTTATATTATAATAATAACAACGACAAGAAGGACGGTTTATGTTATTATTTATCTGCATTTCCTATTTTCGTAAGAGATATTTGCAAAAGTTATTCCTCTATTGTTTTATTGTGTGTCTTTTTTCCACATTAATTTTTTATCTGCACCCAGTTTAAACACATATTATTCGAATAAAAAGAACTGTTACATCGTGACACCTAATGAATAAGATTCGTATTCATTTCACGATGGATTCTACAAGGCGTTCGACTGTGTGTAGCTCTTTAAGGAATAACTTTACAAGCCAAACTAAGATAAAGTTAAGAAAGCAAAAAATCTCCCCGTTTTTGAGTTATCGGCGATTATAATTCATCTATAGTGGCGTATCCATTGTTTCTGTTTTTCGTACGGTATGTTACTACTTGCGTTTATACTATCTGTTTGATGCGCAACACTATTGGTGAATCGTCGTAATCTCGCCGTTTGTTCATAGTTTTACTTTGACTTGTAAAATTACCTCCTAAAATAACTACTACATAAACTCGAACGACCAGTACATCTTGCTTTTGTACTCAGAGCAGATTTTTAACAATTCTGGTGAGAATTTACCAGGAAAGATACTTTCGCTAAATAATACAACATACGAGGTATATGAAAGAAAATAAAACAAAACAAATTCATAATTGTACAAATAATCAGAAATCAGCAACCCATATAAAAACATTATATGTATTTGCATCCACTTCACTGAAAGAATTTTTAACTGTACTTCAGATTATTAATAAAATCGTACTAAGGATAAAGACTGTCAAGTAACATAAATAATAATAATTTTTACTTATATTACAGACAATTTTTTTAGGTGCATTAATTTTTCATCTTGCATTTCCATTGACGACTCGCTTATTCGTATATACAATTTCAAGTACACAAACAAAACCACTATTGAGAAATTTATGATATCCTCTTGGCTCTACGATATTCACATCTACGCTGTGTTCTATGAAATGATTTTTCTATCTATTGTACATTATCGAGTTTTAACTGGACAATGAATAATAATACAATTTGAACGAATTTATGAACGGGATTCATTCGCTCACGTAGAAAAAGGATACTTTTAACTTCATCATCGTGTAATATTGGATAATGATTTTGTTTAATCGTCGCCTTAACGCTAAGTACCCTTAAAAATAACATATTTCGCATGATACAAATGTTTTAAAATATACAAGGCAGTGTAAAGATATATAATTGTTTCAACGGTGGAGAAAGTGTTACTCAACCGATTCAAATTGTTCACATTTGGAATAAAGATTTAAATGGAAACCAAATGATTAGAAACAGGCTATCTAATTGGTATCCGAATTATTGTAAAATTAAATATTGGGCCCTCGAGAGTTCATCCATATTGGAGTCTGAATTAAACCTGACTAAGTCAAGGCACTGAATTAGTATGCCACACTGTTTCAAGTTAAATACTCAACCGCACACTTAGAAAACTGAAATGTATGATTACCACGAACAAGTGTATACACGTTACATTTCGTTTGAAGATGATCAGAATTCAGTTCCATGTCAATCTGACGAAGCAAAGAACATTTACGGGAATAGATGTTTGCTCTGCTTTCAAAATAATTTCTATGTGGATACATATGTATATAACTGTATATAAATGTATGTATACAGATACGATTACATACATTTTTTATTAACTAATAATAATTCAGATGTTTCTCGACTATTTAAAAAACAGGTATATAATAAATAGAAAAAACGAATATACGAATAAAGGAGGTATATCACTGGATAAACATATATGAGGTATAGTATAGTTATTTAATAATTTCAAAAATTGAGTTTGTTTTCTGAATAGCATAATCGTACTTCATTAAAATTTGATTTTTCACTGATCTATTTGACATGGAATGAATGTCACTGCATATACTATTATCTTACAATGGTTTGCACTGTAATCATTCATGGAAATTATAAATGAATTACCATACATTTCACTATTCAAATCTATTTGATTGTTATGAACAAACGGTTCATTCGTATAAACTACCACCAATTATGGCTTCCAGTTGACTAGACGTAAGGTTATTCAACTCTTCTACCCGATTCTCCTCCTTCCTCAGTCTAAGGGACAATCGGTGCAATGTTTTCCTTTTCATATTTTTCGAATTGTATTCACATGGTATAAAATCGTTAGGTTGTATGACTTCCTCGTCATCCTCCCTTTGAGATTCCTCACTTTCTTCACTGCTTGGATGAACCTACAAGTCACATTGCTGTTTAAGAGACTTTTGTTCCATAAAAATTTACATGTTATATGAACATAAACGGGAAAGCAACGAAATTTATGCGAGTTTAAAGATAAACTCTGTTTCGTAGCTAAGTTACGTGCATTAAAAAAAGTGCAAGAAATTACGTGATGCCCACAATAAAACTATATGTACAACGGCACAATTTAAATATTTATTCCGTTAAAAAAAATTATTTACTCACCAATACATTCGTAAAATTGCACGAATAAATAAACAATAAATAAACTATTTGTTAACTGCAAACTAGGAGTTTTTCTCTTACTAGGATTACGATTATGGTTTAGAAGAAATCCAAATAGATAATAGCAAATGTGTACACTCACTTGAACGTATAAACTTAAACAGAACATGTTTGTNNNTTTATTTGTTTTTCTTCTTCAGAAATATTTACTAGCAAGAAATAATATATTTTCGATTATATTTTCTCTATAGAAGTGCATCGATAATCTTATATCTTTTGCAGTTGAGTTTTATGACCTGTAGATTAACATCAATGCACATGACAAACGCAGTACGGCGTTAAATAAAATTCAGGATTACTAGAACGTAGAATAGAATGAAGTAAATTACATCGGTGAATATAGTCGAATACAGAATTGTGCTGAGAAAACGTATCCGTATGGAGTATTTAAAAATGCAATTGTTTTTACATTCGATGAATATCACGAATTAGAAGGTGCCCAAACATTCTACTAATACATAATATATCCTCTATAAAATCTTGTCATGCTTTACCACCACCAACGCAATTTATCGCTAACGTGCTTTACGTTAAATGTAAATGAATATAAGGAAATAAAATTATTTTGGGTGAGAAAGCTTAGGATGAGTATCCAAAAGTTGCACTGCACTGCATTACTTGTCCTTTCTTAGAATATGTCACGATGGTACTCTTATTATAAAATTTCATCATCTCACCTCTACTATGGAAACTCTTGGCGATGGTTCGCGTGGCACAGCTTTTTCCATTGTCACAAGTGGACTAGTAGACCCCGTGGGAGAAAATTCCCTATCCGTATCGGTCTCGTTATCTGAATAATCTTTTTCATCTTCAACGGATGATTTTTGTATTTCCATATTTTCGTGTAGCTTACAAACAAAACCACCTTTCTCGCCGTATTCAAACAAATTCCTTTCCAAATGCACTATCAACAGTATTAACATTATTATCAACTATTATCTCAGGACGTTTAAGAGTTATTCAGGACGCTTATGCGTTTTTATTGTCGTATTACGTTACTACCTTGACAGAAAGCAGCGCTGCAAAAAGAACAATGTGCTGATGTTCTACGTCCACATGCTGTACAATGATGCCAAGGACAACTAAACCTGGAGTCCACATCGTCGATAACTACACATGTTTTATGATATTTTTTGTTACATGTCTTCTGGTCACAGACTACAAAGTCTTCTAATTTTTCAATTTCTTGTCCACAGCCCCAACAAGTTAAATGTTTTCTCGACCTATGAACGGTTAATAATAGGATTAAAACTGATTGATTATCAAGCTTATCGCGAGCAAACGTACACGGAGAATCGCTTACCTCTTTTGACGTTTCATTTTGTCCAATTTCTCAAATTTCTTTTGATGAATCGATGGTGTCGTTACCTGCGATTTCTGTACCTTTAAACCTATAAATCCGCTACAATTTGATGCACCGCATAGGCAGGGCTTTCGAGTTTCTCCGTCGCAAGCTAAATTATAATTAAAAGTTAATTCTTCACCTGGTTCTATATCGCATAACGCAAACAGACCTATACGCGTGTCTCCATTTACCGTCCATTTCTGAGTCTCGCAGTTTGGCGAACATGAATGATCTGTATTCCGAAAATAGTAGTTTGGAAGTATAAATTCATCCTTTTTATTTCATCATTTGATAAAGGCGGAAGGTACTCACTCATAAATCGACTTAAATTGCCCTTTGGTTCGGCATCTATCATTCTATTATTGTCTATGGTTAAAAAATAAAAATTCTCGTTCTTTAATTCCTTTTTTCTATGCAGCCTTTGTTTGTATTCAGCTTCGTCTATAACTTCACCTACGTACTCGATAACAAATTGTCCTGCTTTAATGTATTCTAAACTTCTAAGACCCCATCCACGGGCAACAGTGTGAAACGGTTCCATAGCAGGATATTGTCTTCTCGCAAATGCCTGATTATTACATTTCGGGCCAGCAGGACAGATACCAGGGCTACATTCAACTAATAATATTCGATTAAGGCAATCTGTTCCTGGTGCACACGGATTTTCCCACTCTGCGTCGCAATCACAAGCAACAATACTTTCAACTTCTACCGGTTTTACATTCCCAACGGGTTTATTTACCTATAAATATAGATGTTACCGCGTATTACAAATTATAATCTATAAATCAATACTCTGCTAAAAATAACTGTACACGCGAAAAAATATAAACAAAACTGCTTTACTTTCAATTTAACGTAAGGTGGTGGTTTCAATCCTCGGGGTCCATGATCCTTAGCAGCAGCTCTTTCAACCTTTAAACGCTGATGAATATCATTAGCTTCCTCTAACGCTTTCCGGTAAGTATCGTCTCTATTATTTTTTTTACCGATCGGTGGTTTTATATTTGCGTCACCATCTTGATAAAGGAAAGCGCGACCCCTGAAGAAGAAAAGAATGAAAAAATAATTAATCATTATGATTTCTACACATCCTGCATTTTATTATTCCTCAAATATGACGGAAATTGCTTACCTATGTATCCAATAATAATTATTTGATCCCAAAAACATCACGCAAAATTTACCAGGACTGTGAGGTATAGCTTCTATGTTCTCAGGAATTTGATGCGGATAGCAAATACGGGATGGCCACCACCGATAATTACCGAGTTTAACCCACACAATTTCCCCGTATAAAGGTAGTCTGCCCGTTTCACAGTCTTCACAGATAAATGCACCATCCGGCGCATCAATTCCTAGAGTTATTGCTGCTTATAATACCTTTATGTATTGACAATACAATTACTGCTACTACATACTACTATTTTCGGATGTAAATGTTGCTATTTGTACTATTACCATCACCATCACTGTGAAATAATACTGCTACACTACTATTGACACTACTCTATTACTATTATCAACGTAATTATCATTATTATGACTTTTGCCAAACATAAAACAAATATAATTACCTAGACACTCGAGATGAAAAGAAGTTGGACACGTGTCGCAACAAATAAGACTTCCACCTCTTGTACATAAAAAGCACCATGCTGCATTTACTGGTGGATGGGGTGCCTGATAATGCTTTGGGCAAACTATTTGACTGCCGGTTAGAATCACTGAACCAGCAGGCAAACAAGAAGTAGATGTATGATAAGACGAAGGACATCGAACACAACGTGCCAATTTCTCATTTGGGGTTCTTGAATGACTGTCTTGAGGATTGTCGGAACTGCACGTGTGACACATATGATACGGGCAGGTTAATCGACCTCCTTGCCAATGAGACTAACAAAAAATAATATTCATAATAAAACAATAATGCATTTTGCACAACCATGTTTAAAACCATTAAAGATAGTTCTGTCATTATTACCTGCGGCCACGATTTTAAACAGGATGAGTGATAATGTTTTCCACAGGCTAAGACAGTACATCTTATTCTGTCACCTTCCCTTTCATTACATATGAAGCAAGCAGGTGCTACACCTGACAAACAATCAATGCATTTGAATAATTCATCTTCTTGTTCATCGGTTTTACCTAAATTGATAAGAACATTCATTTTATTAAATTCGACTAAATGGTATTCTCAACGATGAATACACCAAATTTCAATTTTGATTAAATACCGCTATTTTCATCTTCGTCAACATTGTTTTGTTTAATCTCCTTTATATCATCGAGTATCTTATCATCCATTGTACTGTCGTCGATGGAATGTTCTGGACTGGATTCACCAGGTTTTACACAAGATAAATGAAAATATGAATAACAAGGTCCTTTACATCTAGTTAACTTTCCAGTTTTTTCACATATCTGACACACCTTCTCTTGCTTCATTCCCTTAAAGAGATTGTAAGGTCTACTTTTTTTCGTTTCTGAAGCAATCATTTCGTCTTTTTCAACTTTGATTCTAGATTTCTTATTCTCCTTCATACTCGATTCCACATCAGTGGATAAATCTTCTTGATCCGATAAATTTTCTTTAATATGAGTAGCAGAGGCGTCTGAAGTTACATACGATCGATACTTTTTACGAAACGAGGAGTTCATCGAGTCCCAAGTTTTTTTTAAATATTTCTTAATATCCTGTTCTGATGCATCAGGGTATTCATCTTCCAACATATCTCTATTCCGTTCATAATAAACCTCAAAGACACCATCTACATCCTCTTCAGTCTTAAATTCCACTTTCTGCGCAACAGAGACTTCATCATTGGAATCTCGTTGGCTTAAAGGAGACAAGGGAGGAGTATCAGAATTAAGTCTTGAATTACTTTTACCATTTTCTGTCAGTTTCAGTATTTTAGATGTTGTTCCATCTGTTTTGTATTGCGATTTTTCCAATTCATATGCCTGCAATATTATTAAATTACAAATTGATAATAATTTAATAATTGTAAAGAAAATATTCGTTCGAACTTAATAATTAATTTTAAATATTTACATTATCTGATTTAATACGTTTAATGTCAAATCCACTGGAATCGTGTGAATGTTTTCTTTTGTTAACCTTATCTTTTTCATCTAATGCAGTTATCTTTGGCGATCTGTTTTTTGTATTTTTCTCTTTAGGTTTAAATATATTAGATCTGTCTTCATTGCTCATTGGTTGAACTTCCATAGCTTCTTCTATTGCGCTTTCCCATTTAGATTTAATTCCAGGTTTTACTACAAATGCAGCAGCATATTTTGCATCTCTCTTCTTAACTTCTATAGTCACTGATTCTGACAGTTTCTTAAAATCAGCAAAATTAGTGAACGGTATCATAGAGTTTGAAGAAACCCAACTATGGCGTCCTTTATCTCCAAAATATCGAACATGTACCATTAATATCTGGGATCTGGCAGTTGCTAGCCAAACAAATTATATTTTGTTATAATTAAATGGGATCATTCATGTTAAATATACTACTTATAGCTTATCAATATTTAGCTTAGATATTGCATCATTGTATACTGAACAACATTTGGAGATAACAATATTAATTATTAATTTTTTTGAGAAGCAAGTATTTATTTTAGAAAGTATAAATCAATTTGAAACAGGAAAAACAAACAAACATGGAGACACATAAAGATGGTAAAAATATAAAATATATTTTTAAATATAAAATGGACTTACTTTTTAATCTATGGTACGTCATTAAAATTGGATCTAATGTTATTACACAAGGCCAGAAAGGGAAATTACCAACACGAGCCCATGCTAATTGACCTAATATCCAATTGCACTGTATAGATGAACCAATTATCTTTGGAACAGTTTCATCCATGGTGGTCAAACTAATGGAAGAATCACTTGTATCGTCCAAGTCATTGATCGCATTATTTTCATCCATGCTTTCGTTACTGCTGTCGGATGAATTTTGAGATTTCCGGGCTTTCAACACCTTGTTACTCTACAATATAAGTATATCAATAAGATTATATTCGATTATAAAATAGTTCTACTGATTATTCAATGTATAAAAAAATATAGCACAAAAAAGAAAATATAATATTCATCTAAATAATTATATTACTATATTTAATGTCACGTTAGTTTTTAGGAATTCTATGTAACTATAATTAGACAAATTTAAACTGATTTTAAAGAATCATAACATGCCTTTGGAGAACCAGCCATTTCATTTTTAGGAGATTTGGGTTTTATTGTCCTACCATACCGACTTTTACATGATGTGGCCGTGTTAGATTCAACATTAAAGTTCTTTTTGTCATACTCAAAATTGTTTCTTGTTGCATCCAAATTACTGCCGTGATCGACGAATCTTGATTCAGTAATTATGCCCACCTTGCTGTTCACTCCGTTGATAGAGCTCATAGTTTATTAACTAATTCAACATGTTCATTACTCTGGATGGACAATAATACAGTAATAAGAACCGTTATACGCTTCTTCAACACTTAGAGAGATATAAACTTAGGAACTTGTATATAAAGGGCTCACTCGTTGAAAACAATTTTCATTATCGCTGAAAATAGCTGCGATGGCCGATTTTCAAGGGTTACTTTATATTACAGAAAAACGACACGTATTGGTATCTGTTACACAATAGTAATAATCTATTTTGTTTGATCTTTTCACAAGAGTATAGTTTTTGTTACATTAAACATCTTTTTTTATATTAATAGTAAAAAACTATAACCGAACCTCACGAATCTCTGAACAGCAACAGGACGCGTTTCCCGCGATTTTGGGTAATTCTCATAACCATACTGCATTTAACTTTTCACTATGATACGAGTAGTATTTGGTGATTTTTGTTTTATCAATTTCATTATCGTAATTTCAAAAGCATGTTCTTTTTCATAATATTTTATTTAATTATTAGAATTTTGTACCATTATGTTTGGTTTATAAACATTTTATTATATGTATGCGAAGTGCGACACGCACACACACACACACACACAAACCGCATACCAAACGACACGCGCGTAAGCTTTATGTTTGATATATGTTAGCATTGAATATATTTATGATTATATTATTATTATTTATTCATTCAATCATATATATACTTTCATCATCCATTGAATAATATGTATGTACATGTGTATGTATATATGACATGTACGATTATTCTTTACATTTGAAATGAAATTCAAAGTAAAGTTTACGAAAATCGTTCATTAATCAATATAATAATACTGGATTCCCACAAAAATACTCTTTGATTTCAAACGTGTACAAATACAAAATTTCTTGGGATATGTTTATAAATAAAACGACAACAAATACATTAATTCGAAATATTTATATCTTTCTATCTAGCGAGCAGTGAAATTCATTTGAAGAAAATAGAAAAAATGACTAGGTGTTCCTCAAGTGGCCCCCGAGGTCACCGGATACTACTGTTTGCGACTTTTTTCTTTGGAGGTACGTGAAGGACAGAATGTACATACGTACCTCCTCTACTTGCAACTATGGATGATCTGCAGGATAGCATCACTGAAGCTATAAACGCGATCATGCCGAATATGCTTTGGAGAGTCCGTTCGGAGTTCCATTATCGCATTTACAGTAACAGGTAATAGATACCACATGAAATTTTATGAACTGATGAAACTGTAACCACAAAGGTGAAAGAATATTCCAATAAATTTTGATTTTGTAATCATTTGAAACCAAGGAGTGATTTTGCGAACATTCTGTACGTTACTAATACTAGTTGCAAATATTTTGTTAATATTTTTAGTCGTATATATTACACAGGAGAAAAGGTTATTATGTACCAAAAAAAAACAATAATTCAACTATTACTAATTTATCATAAGTTTTAATGCTTGACTGTATATTTTCGATTTATATCGTTTACAACATCTGGTATTTTAGAATTAATATCGAATTAACAGTATGATAATTGAAATCTTCTCTTACAAGGATTTACATATATTTCAAAGTTATTTATATAATGAGCAAGATATGCAAACTGAAAATTATACTCTGTCTGTATAATTCAATTAAATCAAGAAATTTTAAGACCAGTATTTAACTCTGTGTTCATTACGGAGAGAAAATTTTCAAAAGTATTAATATAATGCCGAACAGGGATATACCAGCTTCAGAATAAACTTAGGAGGAACAGAAATCGAGCAATTTTTTCTTTTGTTCCGTTACAGTAGTTTTTCATGCAGGAAACGAAAAGTACGTATAACGTTTGTCGATACGTTTCGGTCGTTCAACTTTCGTCGATGCAAACGAATCATAAAAAAGTGTAATTATTCGCGAGAACAATGTTCCGTGAAAAAATTTCCGCAATAGTTTTTAATCGCTCTCGTTCAACTGTAGAAACGAATTGTTTCGCATGGTTTGGAGGATTATTTGAAATTCTGGAAAATTTATATCAACGAGCAGATTTAACAGGAAAGTAGGTTAGGTAGGTGGTTAGGTAGGTTAGGAAGGTAGATTAGGTAGGTTAGGTGGGTTTAACAGGTAGGTTAGGTGGGTTTAGTAGGTAGGTTAGGTAGGTTAGGTGGGTTTAGTAGGTAGGTTAGGTAGGTTAGGTGGGTTTAGTAGG